ATTATGCTTGTGGATCTCTTCATATTTCCCATAGCGCCTGATGCTTGTGAGTTACCATAGAGAATATCATTGACATCGAGAGTTGAATACCTAATTGAATCTCATAGTCTCATTTACACATTATTGCCTGATATAAACTCTTATACTCTGTGATCGGATTCGCGAATAAAGACTATTGAATTCTGAATTCATTTTTCCCACATAATACCTAATAAAATTATACTCGTGAATCTCTCCACATTTCTCATAGAGCCTGATGCTTGTAAGTTGCCATAGAATATCATTGACATTAAACGTTGAACATCTAATTGAATCTCATAGTCTCCTCTACACATTATTGCCGTATATAAACACTCACATTCTGTATTGGGTTTTGCGGATATAGACCATCAGATCCTGCACCCACTCTTTCCATATGCTATCTGATGAAATTATGCATGTGAATTTCTACGCGATTCTTATTCCGTCTGTTGCTTGTGAATGACCATAGAATATCATTGAAATTGAAAGTGGAATACTTCATCGATTCTCATACTCTTCTCATACCATAACTGCCTGATACAAACTGTCATAAACTGTATTCGGTTACTCTGATAGGTTGCACATACTCATCAATCATCACGAAACCTCTAAGATAGTTCATTTGTCAGCGATATCGTGCTCATAGCTTACAGATTATGGGTATTGATCCTCAACAATACTCATCATTCATCTATATTTTTTTATGAGACTTCATATGACATTTTTGGCAGGGAATGTTTCCAACAATTATAACCAATAAAGCAATTCGAACATTCTCCCCCTGTCAATTCTGAAGCCATTATGAAATATTGTATGTTCGAGTTCGACGGCACATTGGTAGATTATTGTTTCAACAATATTTGGAACATAAAATTTACCTATATCGATTGATATCATTCCAACTTTATCACGCGGAAGATATCGTATACATATTGTTCCCAACAACTATAACCAATATCGCAATTCAAACATTCTCCCCATGTCGATTCTGAAGCGGATATACAATATTGTGTAATCGGATTCGACAACAAGTTGGATGAATATTGTTTCAACAATATTTGGAACATCGAATTTACCTATAATGATTGATATCATTTCAACCATATCATGCGGAAAATATCGTATACATATTTTTTCTAATAATCATAACCAATATCGCAATTTGAACATTCTCCCCATGTCGATTCTGAAGGAGTTATGCAAAATGAATATTCGAGTTCAACGGCTCATTTTCGAAAATTGTTCATTCGACAATATTCAAAACATCATATTTACCTAAATTGATTGATATCGTTTCAACTTTATCATGCGGAAGACATGGAATGCATATTGTTTCAAATATGAATATCAATAACGGCAATTCAACATATATCTTATATCGGTCATAGCAGAGAAAAACGATATTGTATTTTTAAGTTCAATTTCATATCGGGTGGATAGTTTTCTAGCCATATTCAAAAAATAATATCATCCTATATTGGCTGATATGTGATTCACTATATCATGTGAGCAATATTGTGCACATATTGTTTTGAGAATACATATCGATATCGAAATTCCGATATTTATTCCATATCACGCACTTCCAAACCGATGTCGATAAATGACGCCATAAATGATTGGTAACGTACTCCCATTGCCGATCAGACGAGAGAATATAAATATTGGCTGTAGACGATTGTAAAGCATTATTACCTGGAGTAGAAGTTAACCGTGATCAACAAGTCGGCTTCCCCAGGGCAAGGCCCTTTCATTGCACTTCGGCTGGGCTGACCTTTGTGATTATTCCTGATGCGAATATCTCGCAAATATTGGTATGGAAATATTCCACCAATATTTTGAAGACAACATAGTTACATAATGATTTTCAATAATGTACCAATATTTCCAACCAATATTGCACCAGTATTGTCAAATATTCACTGTCCATTCATCAGCAATATTGATATCACATTTTGTGACCAATATAACTTCACGAATATTCCAGCAATATTGGTATGAGAATATTCTACCGATATTTTCGACACAACATATCTCATGATGATTTTCAATGATTCACCGATATTTTCATATAATATTACACCAATATTGCCGAATGTTCACCATTAATTTCTCGCTAATATTGATATTACATTTTGTGTCCGATATAATTCTACGAATATTCAACCAATATTGATATGAGAATATTTTACCCACATTTTGAAACTGATATTGTACCAATATCGCGGAATATTCACATTTTGTTTCTTAATATTACTTCCACAATATTTTGCCGATATTTTTGAGATATTGCACAGATATAGTCCCAATATATGTGACATTCCATTTCAATTTGGGCATTGTGGCTATTTCGTAGTTGTAATTTTGATCAAATTGTATTAACTTCAATCACAAACTAGTTATGTTATTCTCAGCAATTCTCTTTATCGTTCATCAATCTAGACTCCACAGCTCTGCATATCCCACAAGAAAACGTAGCTGAGGGTAATGCCCATCACAAAGGAGTCAGTCAGCTCATGAGATAGGAGGAATCGTACTCACCACCTTGGTATAGAGGTGAGGGGGGTCATCATACCGTGACATATGCTGAAGGCCTCGGGCATATTCGTGATTTCCAGAATCAAAGATGGTATAATAAAATTGTCAAACAAGATCTTTCATGTTTCATGATCTCTGAAATAGTTTCGAGGTGGCAGCTTATTTTCGAGTAATAACTGAACATAGTGCAAGGTTGCGCCAGAATTGCTGTCCAGCTGCACAGTTAGTAGGTGAATATCAGGCTCATTATTTGCCAATGACCTGACTACCTGTGAGAGGTCTTTCTGGTCTCCCTAATCATTTGAGGAAGCACATCTTCCCGCTCTGGTCAACATTGCTGTGATAAATTTTCAAAGTTTCCTCATTCTTTTTATCGCTTCGAGCAGGCGGAAAGAGATCCCCATGTTTTCCTTAGAACATCGTGCGTCCCTAGGAAGGATAGGGGCAGTCAAATATTAAAATTTTCATGAAATCTTGGAGATGATGTGTTCTTGGGAATAATTTCTTAGGCAAAAACGAGTTTTGATACAGTGCTGTTTGACATATTTCAAGGTTGATCACGAGAGGATGTTCTGCCTGGTCTTGTTGAGCTCGTCTAACTTATATTGTTCGTGATGGAATGATAACAGATATTTCTGGAGAACATTGCTCGTGGTGGTATTTATAGAAATATGGAAGGTTGCCAAATTTTTTACTGAGTTTCAAAGTGATACTGATGAGACATTACTCTCTAAGAAAATGACTCTCTTCTGGTTTGGTTGCCGAACTCCATATTCATGTGGAAACAGTATTTTGGAACATGTTGTATCTGTGCTTCGTTATATTCAGTGGACTTTTATGTTCGAGTTCGTATTTACCAAATTTCTACAATCCATGATAGGAACAGTGAGTAAGCAAGTGCCGATTCAGTACATATAATAGAAAGAAATTGAATTCTCTCAACGGATCTAGCGATTGAATTTCAAAAATTTTGGTGAATTTCAAAAAATCATCAACATCCCGCTTGATGCGAATGATTGAAAATGTAGCTCATATACCTCTCATTTTTGATGGAAATGATCACTTAATCTTTCGAATTCCCCGTGGCCAGCATGGAATGATGACTACAATCGGCTACAACATATATTATATCACATCACAATGACAACATACTCCACAGCATTTGAGTGATACAAATGAGAATAAAATGAGGCTCATCAAGATACCAAGAATTCTGAATACAACTTTAAGGTGCAGAACAGTTCTCAATAATCAGAATGATGAATCAATCATTTAGTCAAATATGAAAATCTGATCAGAGAACGAAATGAAGAATGTTGGATCGAAAATTATGTTCAGAAAGGTATTCTGGAACCTGATCCAAATATCCACCTTGACATAAACAAGAAACGATTAACCTCTCATTCACCTGATCAGTAATAGGTTAGATCATTGATATTCACTATACAGATTCCAGAAGGAAGTATTCTTTCCAACGGCTCGTTCGACTTTTCACGTTGAAGTTTACATGAAAAATCACCTTAAGTATGACCCACGTTCTTCTGCTCGATCCACAGTAACACGAGATCATCGGAATTTGTCGAGCGAATGTCGATGAAATATATCGATTGAAGAATCAAGAATTGAATATATAATCACAATACTACGTTGCTCACTACCTCATATAATTAGCTCTTGGAACTCGAAATATTCTTCACAGCAGATTTCATACAGAAAATAATGTCTACATACGTACTGATTCATATCGATGCATGTTTATATGATCATCTGGTTCAATCGTTCATTATCATGATGACAATAATAATGATGATGGGTTCCGTATTGATCATATTGACGATAAACATTATGAATAGACGGCCGAATTACAAAACTAACAGAGTGATGTTTTTGAATAATGCATAGATCATAATGTGGGTTTTTCAAAAAGAATTCAATGGAACCAGAGACATTTTTCAACTGTTACAGGATTGAATATTAATATCAATGAATATTTTGAGATCAATGAAGTGATGAGGAACTTATACGAACATTATTGGCCTCATTTCACTACCATTTCTGACATCATTCCTTGAATTACTCCTTCTGAATATTCACATTCGAGTGTTTCTTCAAGTCTTAGGATGGTCATTGATTTCTTTTCAGTAGATAGGTATTTCTTCATGATGAATATCATGAAGGAACGAAAGAAATGTGAACCCTTTAGATTCAGTTATAACTTGACCTACCTAGATAATCTGAATCAATATCTATAAAGCAACATGCAGTGTTTTGAAACATGATGACAATGACGATATAGCTATCTTTTCATCCAACTTTCGATGAATAATTGTTGATGTAACATATTTACCTAACATTGTTTGGCTAAATCCGAGAAGAAAAGGAGGCTGAATCGTTTAGCACATCACAATGCAGATTTTTCGGCAAAGATGCTCGTATAAATAGCTGATGAATCCACATAGGAATTCAGTTGCAATTCAACTCATTGAAAATAGTGAGACACTGAGATAAAAATGTTTCTATTATTGGTGAGTGATATTATGACCAATTGAATAAGATATGTAGCAATTTCGTTCCATTGAAAATGGATTATTATCTTGAATTATATTATATTATATTATTGAAAAAAAAAACTACCATGCAAGAGTACCTTCAAATAATCATGAGAGTAATAATGAGAGCAATAGATCATTAGGTTGGGTAGCATAGCGCGGCTTCTGGAATAGGGTATCTATTAATCTAATCGAAGGAGGGTAAACATTACTTCATGATGAAGAAGGTATATTATTTTTTTTCTATCGCTTGGAGCGCACGATAGAAGTAAATCCCCCAATTCCTCATTATTCGACCAGTATGTGAGGATGTGTTGTAGCAAAAACAAGCATAATGTTTTTTCAAAGTGAATTCCAGTCACGAATCTGCGGTTTTCGACGGCACGCAGAGTCGTTCTGGATGAAATCCAATGACTACTTTCCACAGCCTGTGTGGTGAATGATAACTGGGACCAAGAACCGTGTTGCCTGAGCAGACGTGATGATCGAAGAATGACGGCTTTCTGCATTTCACTAGCCAGGATGTGTACCTTATCACAGCATGCTGTTATTTTTGGGATTATCATTAATGTTATTGTCCTCATTATTATCATTATCCTCATTCTCATTATAATGATCATCATTCTTTTGTATTCGTCTCCAAGTGAGCATATTTCATTAGCACCTACATCAAAATCAAGACCTGCACTGATATCGCATTCTTTGAATGAATGATGCGTTCAAAGGTACCTCAGACCCTTTGGAGAATAGGATTATGAACTTATAATATTTCTCGAATATATTCTATACATAGGTGTTCAGTCAAAAAAAAATGATAAAAGGAAATCGTGTAGTTGCAGATTTTTATAGAGTGTTAGGGATAAGTGCCATAAAGAACATACTGAAAGTCGTGACTGGTAGGGCATGAGCGGGAAAGTAGGGGAACATTCGGAGGTAATTTTTTATTTTTTCAAATTGTTTCTGAATGATTCGGAATTTGCAACTTCTAGGGAAAAATGAATTTCACGAAATCGAAGAACATGGAGTTTCTTATAAAGAATTTTCCATCCATTTTTCGTCTACAATAAGTGGTTTCTGAGAAACAGGGGATGGAAAATTCTTTATCATTATATATAATATTTTTCATCCCATTTGAAGAAGAATGTCAATTCTCAATTCCGGAGGATATCATTTTTTATTTTTCATGTTCTCCTCTCGAATGTTCATCAGATATAATTCAATGTTCGACGTGGCAAATATCCAGGAAAGTAGTTGTTTTCTGTTGAATAATCAGAATGATGTATGCATATACATATTTTCGTCTGAAGGAGAATGCAAATTCTCAATTGCAGAAGTTTTTATATTTTATTTTTGAACTCTCATCGCGTGTGTTCAATAGATATAATTCAATGTTCGTCGTGGCATATAGCCAGGAAAGTAGTTGTTTTCTATTGAATAAACTGGAAAAGAGTAGATATTCTCATCACATAGAGAATGCGAATTCTCAATGTATTGCTTCATTTAAATATATATCCATTTTTGTATGTTCATAATTTATGTGAGAATATTGCTTCTCAATCAAAGATAGAGTTCATCACTTTGGAAATAATGTTAATTGTTTGACATCATAAAATTTATGTACAACGTGGATAAATAAACCAATCACATTATTTCAAATGGGGGTACAAATTGGATGTATACGTTTCAATAATTAAAAATCGATCATATTCTTTGTTCACATTTCAAATATACCGCAACGGTGCATCATCTGTATGTAATTTTAGTTTTTTGGTATTCACATTGTCCCCCACATCCAGTAGAACATTGTCAGAATATGATGTTCACTATCAATTCAGGTACCTACTACTAGATCTTTGGTTGTCACTGAGATGATCGATCTATCCTCTCCTCGATTTTTCCATCCAGTTAACGCAAACGTAGGTGATACTGTGCTGCTCTGACTGAATTTCTGTCAAAATTTATATCAATTGAGTCAATTTCGATATACTTCATTCTGCTAGATGAATTTACAACGTCATGTTTCTTGTTCTCGAAATCATCAGCTTTTCTATATCTTTGAGTACAAAACATACGATGAAGCTTTTATATTCCATTCATAGGAGAGTTTCTGCCTAGTGGGTGATGCCACACTCACGAATTATCTGACAACATCAGAGCATCGTAAAAAATCATTCGCTTTTTTCAAACTTCTTCGGGAGAAGTTCTTCAGGAATTTTTGCTACCATTCAATCACTAGGAATATTGTGGTTGTAATCCTGGCAGCAACTCGATGCCCTAGGAGTGGTTCGGATTCCACTATAAGCTGTAGGTCCTGCTCTTCCTAACCCCGCACAAGTTTTGACTTCTGGGAAGTTGATTCCCAATTTTGAAGTAGCGATATACAAATTTCACATTGTTTTTTTACCAGCCAGACGCGAAGTCCAGTCGGCACATTTTTCCATCGTCTACCTCGTAATATGTTGAACAACTTTCCATCAAAATTCGTTCGTCTATAGTACGATGAAGCTTCAGAATTCCCCAATGGAAGAATTATTCCAAAAAATGTATAAACTGCAACAGTTCTGAAAAATGTTTACTGTCATCATTTGATAAAAAGCCTATGGGTATAAATCTCATGATACGCCAGAAAAAAGTGAGACATTCATCATGAATTTCATACTGATTAACTCTATTTTTGTTACTATAATCACACTATCCTGTATAAACGAACATAAAGAATGTAAACGTTTCAATAATTGATAATTATTCCAAATCTTCGTCCACGATTTTTATATTCAGCAACGGTGCACCATCCGTATGGAATTCTAGTTTTTCTGATGTTCACATCGCCTCCGACCTCTATTACAACATTGTCAAGATATGCTGTTTACTATCACTTCAGGTACCTACTACTATAGATCTTTGGTTGTCACTGGGATAGCCGATCTATCCTCTCCTCGATTTTTCCATCCAGCTAACGCAAACGTAGGTGATACTGTACTGCTCTGACTGAGTATTAATAAATAAATTTCTAGATTGATTCGAGGTCGATATACTCTTCTCTGCTAGATGGATAAACAACGCCTTGTTTTTTGTTCTTGAAACCATCAGCGTTCCTATATATCCTTGAGTACATAACATACGATGATGCTCTTAGATTTCATTCAGAGAAAAGTTTTCGCCTAGTGGGTGAAGCCACACTCACAAATTATTGAACAAGATAGGAGCATCGTATAAAATCATCCTCTCTCCTTTAGAAACTCCCACGGGAAAAATTCTTCAGAAGTTTGTGCTACCATTCAATCACTAGCAATACCAGCCAGACGCGAACTCGACAAGTCCAGTTGGCACATTCCTCCTCCGTCTACCTTGTAATATGTTGAAGAACCCTCCACCAGAATCGTTTGTCCATAGTACGCCAGAAGAAGTATTCCCAGAAATTCATGAACTTCAACAGTTCTAAAAGATGTCCATCATCTACCTTCTATCCCAATCCTAATTACGACCGATGTTTCTTGAACATTCTGGCAATCATCAATTCACTCAGCCCTTAATTACCAACGTTACATTGATGACTGACAACATCACAGTAACGAATTCAACATTTTTCAGCCATTCTTCATAGTTAACCTCTTCAGGTGAAAAACTCACTCACTACCATTATTTGATGAAGAGCTTATAGGCCAGAAAACAGTGAGACATTCATTATGAATTTCATAACGATGAACTCTATTTCTGATACCTATCCTTATATTCATCCCCTGCATCTAAGAAATCATTCATTGTAGACGGAAAACGAGGAGATACTTTCAAAAGAGAATTCCGTTTTGTTCAATTTCATATGACTCTCGTCCTCCGCTAGGAATTGCAATTTTCAATTGATTAATCAAGAACATGTCGAAAAAATGACGTTCAAACGCTCCCCTACTGTCCTGCTCACTCTCTACGGGTCAGGACTCACAGTAAGTTGTCAATGACATTTCCCTTCACCGTCAGTCTTTACGGAGATGATGTGGATCGAAGTTCCACAAAGAACGTTCTGTTCATAGTTTATTATCTGCCACTTCAGTACCAGCCCTGCTTATGGAAAGGCAACAGTGAATCTAGCAGGGCAATTTCCAGCCATTGCTCTCAATTCCTACTCAATTTTCATCATCAAAAAACGTCTTCGTCATAACTCGAGTGCATTTTGGAAATATTTGGAAAGAGTTATAAAAATTATCGCGAGAGGAATAATGTCTGAAGGACAGATCATAAAGTTGTAAAAAATCTAGCTAGTGTGTACCCTTTCATCTTGAGGTGACCTAAGGTAGTGATGTTTGCTTGAATACAATGTGTGCTCAGATAGCAGTGAACGTTAGATCCTCGTTTCACTGGAAGTAGCTAAACTTACCCAGTCTGATTACTTTTATAATTGATAATGAGTGAATTGAATAGGTCTGATTCAACATATCCATGTATTTCCAGATCGCTATATTTGCTCTGATAGCACCAGCTATTTCGAGACCACAAGAACCAGCCCCTGTTGTAGCAGCAACAGCTCAAAGAGCCAGATCAGGAGAAGAATCGACACCAATTCCTATCATTAACCAAACTGAAGATAGTAGCCCTGATGGCAACTTCCACTTCAGGTAACTATTCTATTGATGAATAATCAGCTGATCACGAATCATCAATATCCAGCTTTGTGATTATTCTTGATCATGAATCGATTTCGATGATTTGATGATGTAATCAGTATGTGCTCAAGAAGAACAACATTTCATTGTTAGCATGAAGGAGGGATTGCAAATGAATAGACTGTTATATAACTGGTGAAAATCCATTGAAATACGATGTCCTGCAAAATATCAGTTAACCTCAACCTTCAAAGATCTGTTTACTCTTCTGTAAAAATGATTGAACTGATAAACTTCGTAGATGATTCCTGATTGCAGTACATTTCTTCATTTGGACAAGAACTGGATGTAACGACTTACGCGTGGTCATACTATCGATTATTTTTAATACATCTGTGTGTTACTATTATCACGATTCATATTCTGGTATTTTCCAAGTAAATAAAGCGCTAAGAATCCATTGAGGCGTTATGAATTATAGCTGATTGGGAGATCCTGAATTCAAAGAACTCGAATTCGAATTTGAGAATTCAGGAATTGTCAAAGAAATATTGATAAAGCATTCACCGTGGTGAAGAATACCAACCGTCTCCCAACCTATAACAATTGAGCCGTTTGCTATGACTATTCGAATGAACATTTATAATTTGGCATTTCACGGGTTCGAGTGGATCCCACAAACTATGTTATCGTAGGTAATACTCTCAGTTCGGTGTCCTCAAAAATGTACAAGTTGATGATAATTCCAGAATCGATATGATTTGATGTTATTGAAAAATCGATATAATTTGATGTTATGAATCATTGTCGTTTTTATGAAAATATGCTCTGAGACGGTTCGTTACTGACATGAATGGCATCGAAATATATATTTTGAGGATGAATTTCTCGAATATCTCGATATCGTTGATATAGTTCCACCTGATAGCATGTCAAAACATGTCGATCTCATATATATGGCAGGTGAAATAAACTTCGTGTATTTCTGGTCACGAAATCAATAGATTGGTCAGTACCTGAAAAACTGTATTCAGATGAAACAACAGAGCATGTTTTCAATTAAATTCTTCGTATGATCTCAAGCCGATTCAGAACGTTTAATTGAGTTCAGCTACCTTGTATGATTCTGGATATACGTGGATATACATAGAGTTACTCCGCCACTTATGAATCGATGATTATTTCTATAGAAACCAATTCACATTGTGACATACAAACAAAGACCGTCGTAAAATAATGTTGACGTTCGTTCATAACTACTCAAAAATAATCGCATCGAATACAATTCAAACTTAAAACTATTCATGATTATACATCTCAAACTTTCTACATTATTACAAATCATATCATCATTTATATCATTATATTTTGTAGTACTTTCAGTATTACTACTGATTTTATCGCAAAAATGTATGGTTTTTTTGATTCTCTGTTGAACCCTGAATATTTATATTCGTATATTGACCAACTAACTCTTTCAATCTCCATAAATTTTTCACCAGAAATGAGTTGTAAGGGACTCAGAATGTCTCTAACATAGATCAGACAAACCATACAATTCGTTGAATTAGTGAATTCGAAGTGGAAATCGCCTATTATCTCGTGAATTATTTCAGTTATGAAACTGGAAATGGTATCAAAGTCGATGAAAAAGGATATCTCAAGGAAGGACAAAATGCATCCGACTTAATTCAAGTTATCGAAGGCAGTGTGTCCTACACCGACAGTAATGGAACTCTCATCAATTTGAGGTTGGTATCGAAAATAGGAAGAAAACATTCTAGAGAGTAATTATTCAACCTTTGAATTCACATGACATCGAAATTAACGTAAACACCCATGCGGGGTCCATTAGAGACCCCAGCTAAATAAATAATTTCAAATAAGTTAAATACAGTTTTCATATTATATGAGTCTGAAAAAAACAAAATTATACTCTACATGTACATGAAACTTCACTAGATATTCTAGAAGAGACAATATAAAATAATCATTTTTCTGTACCGCAACACTATTCTCCGGAAGTACTTATCACTTTCAAGTCAGCTTCTGACCATAAATCCAAGTTCTCGGCTATCTCCTCTACTTCACGTTGTGTGATGAATCGCTTTCTATGAGAACCACCCATTTTTATAGCTCTGGAATATAAAAAAATAAAAAATATACGGCGTATTTGAAAAATGTATGAAACCTTGAATAACTGTACGAGGTACCAGACCCCACTCACCTAAATCACATGTAACTTCAATGCACTTGGTGCGAAATGTGGTCACATACAAATATTCACAAACGCCAACACAAATACATACCAAGCGGCAGTATTGTCAGAATGTTCAAATAAAAGATTGATAGTAGGATTTTGTTACTTGGGATCCATGAGCGACTACTCGTGAAGGTTCAAAGGTTAATGTTTTCTGATCTCTTATACCATATATTTTCTGTTCCTTGCTCTTAGAATTGAAGTGAGAAATAATCAATGTAATTTTCTTTGAATTGGCAAGGATGCATATTGCATACTCATAAACCTAATCATTTTGTTACATGGCTTCTGAGTATAAAATCACAATAGTTTCAAAATCCTGGAATCAGTTGAGTTGATGAAAACTACAGTCACTTTATATCAATATCTGAAATGGGTAGTCAGATAGCAAGTTAATCAGACTCGACTCCACTTTTGCTAATGACGAAAATTATATAAAAAACCACAGTTTTCAATCCACTAAAAATCAATTTTATGCAAACGTTGAAATGCTCCAGATTCCTTATTTCCTAGATTTTCACTAATTCTGAATTATGTTAGTACCTGAATTCTTCAGAATAATTCAAAAACAGTATTCGAAGTATATTCACTTCATTGGTGTGTATATACACACCAACTGCCCTTAGACCATACGGAATTTTCTTCAGCTAGTGTGTTTTGTGTAGGCTTTGATAATGACTCCATACGCCACTTAAGGAGCAGCACTGGTAATTGGAACGCAACAGTGAATCATCTCTGGCCAAGGCTTTGGAAATTAAAATCCATAACTTGGTTTATGCATGAAAATTCTCTGCTCTGCCGGGGATTCTTTCTAGTGATCTACTGAAATCCTGGTTACTAGTCGAGCGCTTGATCTACTGCGCTAATTTGCGCCTTTATTCACGAAGATGTTTTTATGGAACTCAATAATATCAGGAAATATAAAATCGATATTCAGATCGAAATAGTTTGATCCAATTCGCTCATCCAGCGAAAACAGTGAGATTTTTTAAAGACTCGCAATGTAACCTTCTGGAGTTTTCGTCTGGTTCAAGATCAAGAAATTGATGTGTTTCAACATCTACCAAGATGGCATTTTTGGACGCATAAAAGTTTGCATACACTAGACTGACGTAGAAGATACTCACTGCTATTGAACAAGGTTTTTTTTTAAAGGGCCTCTTTTGTTAGGAGAAGTAGAACACTGCAACAATAATTGAATCGGTGAGAATAAGAACAGTACAAGTCCAAATGTTACAGTTTTGGGCAAACAAGAAAAACTCTCTGTAAAGTTGTTCTGTTCTTACGCTCAACGCTTCACGATGAGCGCCGTCATACGCCTTGATATAGGTTTCTCGACTCATTCGATGCAGCTTCGTATTACAGAAAAAACGGCTATTCCAGTTTGAAATGTCGAATTTTGGACTTGTACTGTTCTTATTCTCACCGATTCAATTGGGTTTGCTCAGTAGGAATTTTCCTATCGTTATTCGAATTCAATATACGGGATGTTGAAGATCAAATGATCATACATATTTTCCAGAATTATGTGGCAATAACTTGCAATATTGTGATGAAGTTCTGCATAAACATTCTATGGAAGATGACACATATAAATCCATCCAAATACTTGACTCTTATAGGATGCTAGTTACACGGTTGTTACCGAGTACTTGTTAACATAAAATCTTTGAGGTTTGATTATCTAAAACAAATTTGATTAAAAAATGATAATGATAAAGAGCGAATCAGTTCAAACGATCATACATCCATTCGAAACCAGAAACAAAAACAATAGGTTCATGCTGAATTTGTTGTTCGAAAAAAGAATCAGAAGTAGAAAATCAAGATGGATTCGACTGTAAACATCGAACACCTATTCAATCAGTTCGAGTTATTGCTCAAGATGTTCTCTGTATCCTCGAATACAACTTTCAATATTTTCTCTACTAAAGGTTGCCTTAAGCCTTTCCACAAGATGGCAATTTTTCTGTAAATAATAACGGCCATAGTATTTTTCGAAAACATTCGTGTCTTGCGAATCGCTCAGAATGAGATCCAAATTCGTGAAACACAAAGCTGGAAGTCCAGACTATTGATTGATCTTGACAAATTGCCAAAAACTCAATTTTACCAAGTGGAAACCACCATACTTTCGACATCATTAATTGAATTCGAGAATGAGTTACTCGATCATCTCCTTTACCTAACTCGAACCATCATGAGAAAATTCAATGAGAATACAAATAGTTCATCTAAACTAGAGATCTTCTGCTCATTTGTTGCACCGCCACATAATTCTGCTCATTTGTTGCACCGCCACATAATTCTGCTCATTTGTTGCACCGCCTCATAACACCATTTTCAGAAAATGAATGGAGTGTAACAATGAATGAAGAAATGATTTGAATATCAATGCTGATGAATCATGTTTTTTAAAGAATTGATGAAAGTTACATCATAGAAGGATTTAAATGAAATGACTTCAATATCTGATTGAAATTACTGTATTTTTGTGTATTTTTGTATCGAGTATGATCTATGGATAACTGGACTATGAAAGGAGAAAGATTCGAAAATATATCCAAAATTTTTTCAGGTACATTGCTGACGAAAATGGATACCAACCAACTGGCGATCACCTACCAGTTGCTCCTCCACTTCCAGAATATGTTGTCAGATTATTGAATTCAACAGCTCAATCAGAATTTTCCCAAGGAACAAGTCAGGTGAGAGCTGATTCTGCTCCTGCAGCATCTGTTGTCTCAACGCCAGTACCTCTGCCACCTGTAGCTGCAACGGTATAGGAGATCCTGCCAGTCTTGTTCCTTTCACTACTTCAGCAGAGTTTGCACTCGAGTAGGCATACCCAACAATCATTCTGATTTGGAATGACCTAAACTTTCGTTACAAATCGTTACGATTCATCATATGTTTATCCATGTTCTTGTGATCATTGTATTTGATCTCTGAGTTATGTCTTGCATACTTTTTTTTATTGTGTATGTATATTTAATACATAAAATGAATTGATTTCAGAAATTGACGTAGTTTCAATCACAGTACAACCCAATCCCAACAAACAATGCAATCATTCCATAGATCGGAAATGAATATAAAACTTGTGTATTGTAATGTTTTAACAATATTGTAGGGTTGCGATAAAATCAAAATTGAGCTGACATGACAAATTTCATTTTTCTACAGCTACAACACAAAATTGCTCTTGTTTTACTCTATCCGATACATCAATGAGGTACTTTGTTCGTCATCAATTCCATCTCCGTATTTGATATCACAATGACTCAATTGTGGTATTATTTCAGAAAAATCTCATCGCCCTGGCTCACCTTGTGTCAAATCACATTTCGTGCTCGTTGAACAATATACTATAATTCAAAATCCAAGGTGTTTTCGGAAGGTCTATTAGTGCGGAGGCAGAGGCCGCAATATCGCTCGTTTTAAAGACGTACCCAAAATTTCGGTATAACTTAATGGGACTCATGGAGATCGATTTGTCATGTAATTTTACATAGGGAATGGAAATCTACAACACGCTACGTTGGTCGAGACAAAAGTTATATGGAAAAAACGAGAAATAATTGCAATTTTCAAATTTTGAAATATGATTGCTTTAACTTCTGATCTAATAGAGATATCTGAATGATTCTTCAACTGTTCGATAGGCCAATATATGTACTTCATAAAGGTCCATTCATTATTCCATAATGAAAAATAAAAAAACACAAAAATTACATAATTCAGTTCACTTTCGGAAATTTCAATAAAATGTATTTTATTCATCTCGCCGAAAGTCATACATCATTAATCCAATTGGAATATTTTTTACATCAAAAACTGCGGAATTCTCTTGCGAAAATTTCATCCCGCATATATATAGATCTATTCTTGATAATAAATTAGCTGCAGTTATTTGAACGCAATGATGCACACCGTTTTCTTCGTCGTGGCAACCCCTCCGGCGTCCAGCGCGCCAATATAAAATATGCACTGTCATCGAGTAATTTCTGTAATTTGGGCAGTATTTGTTGTTCCTTTATTCGATACGGATGAGTTGTATCAATAACAATAAATTGGGAGTTCTTGAAATACTCACTGCAGATAGTTCTGATCGATTATTGACGTTTGAGTTTGTGTAATAGTGACATAGTGACATCTTGGTTATCTACTTTTAAAATTGGATTTTTTCTCATACATCTTCGACTGGTGTGGTGGAAATTTTTTCATCGTAAGTAACGGCTGATTTTTGCAATGTTTGATTGTTAATTCTCTGATTCATTCGTTAGATATAGATATGGAAAGAATCAAAGAGTGTCTGTTCTGTTCCGAGTCGATGTGTAATATACCAAATAATGAAATAGTTTTGAAACCGACTTTGCAAGGATTTGCGACTATATTTTCCGCTGCAGAGAAGAGAAAATATGATGAAGTATCTAGAAAAATCTTGTCTTTGAAAGATAAAATCAATGAAAATCCTGGACATTTTCAGTTTCACAGAATTTGCCGACAATCTTTCATCAGCAAAACAAATATAACTTCAGCAGTCAAAAAAATATCCGATGAGGAACCAACTAATAGAATATCCAAGGTTTCGTTCAATATTTCTAAAGACTGCATGATTTGCGGTAAATGTGGTACAATTAAGAAAAAAGGCTTGGTTCAGGTGTGCACTGGAACTGGACAAAGAACCCGGGAAAAAATTTTGAATGCAGCTTCACAACGTAATGATTCAGTAATGATTGGAAGAATGGAATTCTATCCTGACCTATTCGCTTCCGATGCAAAATACCATCGATCTTGTTATTCAAAATATTTAAGTGGAAGGAATATCAAAAGTAGCACTACTAGGAAATCTGATGAATCATGTCAAAGTGATTCGCAAAATATAAGCGAAGCGCTGACAATTTTGTACGCAGAAATTGAAGATACTATCATAGAAAAGCGAAAAGTGATATCAATGGGAAATCTTCGAAATAAATTTCTCAATATAATTGAGGATAAAAACATTAGGATAGATATCACTGTGAATCAAGTATTTTCACGAAATAATTTAGAGAAGTATTTCGGAGAAAGATTATCACTCGGATTATCATTTGCAAGTAGCTCTGGCAAGCCTACTATTGTCTTCTCGCCAGATATCATACATGATCTTTATCACCAACAAAATGATTATTCTAGTTCTGAAGAAGAAAGAAATGTGATTCCAGAGAGTGACAAAACCATCTTACATAAAGCTGCAGGTATTTTGAGGCAAAATATAATTGATCATACAAGTTCTGAAAAGGTAGCGAAATACATCAGTCCTCAAGCATTGACTGAAACAGCTTGTAGAGCGGAAATACCTGATAAACTTTATATGTTCATTTGTTGGCTACTTCACCATGATAGTTTTATTGAGATTTCCCAGGAAAACTTCGATATTCATGTAGTGGCAATATGCTCCAGTATCCTTAATAATTTTGATAAAACGAATATTCTTACAAGCTTCGGAATGTGCTTATCAATTTTTGTTTACCAGTGTATTAGAAGTAAACAAATACTGAACATTTTATACAACCTTGGATACGGCATATCCTATGATGAAATGAGAAGATTTCTTACTTCATTGGCTAATGAACAGAGTCAATGCATAGATAATGATAATATATTCGTTCCTCAAGGATTGATGCCTGTGAACACCGAAGGTGACAATTTGATACATGCCAGTATCGACAACTTCGATCAAAATGAGGAAACTTTGGATGGCAAGAATACTACACATTCTTTAGCAATAGTATTGTTTCAAAAAAAAGGTGAACTCTTCAATGATACAAGTTTTCAACGAAAAACTGAACGCTCCTTGAAACAACTTGATTGTGATACTTCAAATAAATTATTATATTATAATAAACCTTCCAAACGTCCTGAACCTCCTAGATATCAGGAAAATATGATACAATGTAGCTTACGCTCAGAATCGAAAGAGTCCAGACATGTAAACACTGATACATTGTGGAAATTATTAAGGTTCATGAAAAGTTCTAACACTTTTTTAACGTGGAGTCAATTCAATGATATCATTTCTGAGAACAATTTACCGGTTTCGAATACGTTTTATTATATTTTTATAAATGCTACACCTACATCATTTGATACCATCTTCACAGGCCTCACCCAATTCACAAGAATAGCTGAGAAAATGGGCCAGGATCATATAATAGTTACTGCTGATCTCGCCATATATAGCAAAGCGCAAGAAATTTTGTGGAACAACCCTCCGGAATTAGCTAACAAAATCACAATGCAACTAGGAGGAATGCATTTAACAATGGCATTCATCGCTAGCATTGGACATATTTTTGGAGATGGTGGTTTGATAAATATTCTGGTGGAATCTGGAGTGTATGCCGAAGGAACCTGCCGACAAATGCTTCAAGGTAAACAGTTGAATCGTGCTCTGAGAGGTATAACCCTAGTTTCAGATGTCTTAAGTCGACTGTTCTTCAAAGCCCTGAATGCTTGGATGATAGAAAAAAAAAATTCCTTCTCTAGATGACTCCACAAGGGAGAGACTATTGAATTTAGAAACAATCATTAATATATCATCTCTATCAAGTGAAATTAAAACACTAGTAAATAGTTTCTTGAATGACTCGGATTGGCCAGGTGTAATGGAAGAGTTCATCGAATTCGGTTGTCAACAGTCAGCTACATTCAAATATTGGTGGTCTTTCATCGATGCTGCAAATATTCTACTGAAATTACAAAGGGCTGAAAGGAATGCTGACTTTTCATTACATCTTGAAGCGGTTAAAGAAACTCTAACGTATTTGAAAGCAGGTGGTCGGAATAATTACGCTAAATATACACCCATATATTTATTAGATATGGAAAATTTGAAAATAAAACATCCTCAGATATACCAGTTTCTTGAAGATGGAAATTTCGCTGTACGAAGAACTGATGATGGGAGGAATTTCAATGCTGTTGCTTCAGATATGGCTTTAGAGCAAACGGTTAACAAAGACTGTAAAAGTTCTGGAGGCGTTATTGGATTTACTCAAAGTGAACAGACTTTGAGTAGATGGCTGATCACTAGACATTTGATGGGAGAATATGCAAATAAAACCAAAGAACTCATAACTCATAAAATGAAATCATGCAGAAGTTACGGATCAACAGAAAGAATTAGGGAAGAAGAAGACGTCAAAAAAATGGAAACTCTAATCGAGGAAACTTGGATTAACCCTTTCGACCCATCACATTTTTCCACAGATCTAATTCATATTGCCACAGGAAAAATTGCCTCTGCAGAAGTGAGAAATTCGTTGTCTAATTTCAAGGAAAAGGCAAATTCGTCGAACGAAAAATTTGCGAAGGATAGATTGACATTCGATAATGTAGTGAGTTTTTGGCAACCCGTTCCTCGAGATAATTTGAAAGCATTTGGAAATGATACTGTGGGTTATAAAAAAACTGGGAAACAAAATTATGTAAACTCCGATTTTATGTTCCGTAGAGTACTCTGTGCAGCTCAGTATAAGGACATGGATTTCGCAGATATCATGAAATATGAATTAACTGCTGTTCCTGTCTCTATTTTCCATGAAGATGGAACAATGAGAAAAACTGCTAAATCCGATCTTGCAACTAAATTCGAAACATATGGTCCGACTATGTTCGAATCACCTTCAGAAATTGATTCCTATTTCATTGATGGTATGATACTTCTACAAGAAATGAATCCAAAGTCATTCAGAACATTCCAGGAATTAGGTGAAGTACTGATGAACAAAATGATTCGAATATTCAAAGAACATCGGACATGTCGAACTATTTCTATTATATTCGATCGATATGATTTAGAGAATTCAATAAAGAGCAGCGAACGTATTAGAAGAGGACAGCATAAAATTGGTACCTATTCCATAAATGGATCAAGAAATGTACCTAATTATAATATATTTCTAAAGTCAACTTCGAATAAAATGTCCCTTATAAAGTTCGTTACCAAATATTTCATCGAATCTCACTTACGACTACCTACCAATAATGAGATTATTATTGCTGGAGGATTGGAGGATGCACAAATATGTGTAAAGGTAACAAAATCAATATGTCAATACTATACTGTATTTCATCTGGTGATTTTTCAGATACATCATTCTGGAACAACAGAAGAACCCCATTTGAGATGCAATCATGAAGAAGCTGATACCCGTTTGATTTTACACATGTCCACTCAGCGTAACAGTAAAATAATAATAAAGTCAGATGACACGGATGTCTTCGTTCTTCTTTTGTATTATTATTGGAATGATGATAATGTTAGATCCAATACCATATACATGGAGAAGGGCCATGGTACAGCTTACACAAATAGAAGGAGATTTGTTGCAATCCACGATGTAGCAAGGACTCTGAAAAAACGTACTTGCGATGGGTTACCTGCATTCCATGTTTTAACAGGATGTGATACAACCAGTTCGTTTTTCAAGATTGGGAAAAAATCAGCATGGGATATATATCTGAAAAAAAAGGAGAACTTATGTCTGGATCAGTTTGGAATGGAAAATTGCTAGAAAGTTTGTCCTTTACTTATACAAACAAGAGAATTGCCAAGATCTCAACCAGGCCAGGCTAATTCTATCGAAAAATTCAAAAAAATCTGCCAAAGAGATTCCACCTACTGAAGATGCCTTCAATCTTCATGTCAAAAGGTAAAATGTGACTGAATAATTCATTTTATATTATAAATTATCAATAATTATTGTAGGTGCTATTACCAAATATCAATGTGGATAAACAGTCACGTAGGTTTGTATGATCAGCAAGACCCGAAAGAATTTGGTTGGCAGAAAGAAGAGGGCCACAATTACTTACTCCCAAAACTAATGTGTTTGCCTCAAATACCAGATAATGTGAGGAAAATTATAGATATTCACTGCAATGATGCAAAATGCATTCAAAGCAAATGTATATGCAAGAAAGAAGGAATGTTCTGCACTGATGAATGCAAGTGCAGAAAATCTTGTTCTAATATTGAAGAAGAACATGTAGAAATTGATGAAGCTGAAACCTTCTTCGAAATGTGAATCTATAAAATTGTATAATGCATTCCCTTTACAATGATTACTATTTGAATATAAATACATATTTTGGTATGTTATATTATTTCAACCTAAAGCAGAATCAGCTACTGAAGACCACATATCCTGTATTTCAATGGCATCAGACACGATTAACATGGGTATCTAAGCGCTGAGGGATGCCGGCGGGACAACGAAGAACAGTGAGTACCGTTGCGTTCAATTGCCTGTGGCTGATTTACCTTTCTACCTAGATCTATACATATGCGAGACGAAATATACAGAAAAAAATTCCGCAGTTTTTGGTGCAAAAAATATTTGAATTGAATCAACGATGTATGACTTTCAGCGAGATAAATAAAATACATTTTATTGAAATTTCGAAAAGGGAAGGGAATTATGTGATTTTTTGGTTTTTTTCTCAGAAATTATGAATTACCGAATGAACATTATGAAGACAATACATGAGCCTATCGATCAGTGAAAAAATCATTCAGATACCTCTATCAGACCAGTAGTTACAACGATTATATTTAAAAATTTGAAAATTGCAATTATTTCTCGATTTTTCCTCATAACTTTTGTCACGACCAACGTGGCGTGTTGTAGATTTCCATTCCTCATGTGAAATTACATGACAAATCGATCTGCATAGGTCCCATTGAGTTATACCGAAATTTTGGGTTGGTGCAAGATAAACCGTGGCTGCCGCCGGACTATATACAATTACATACAATTACACACCACCAACCGAATAAATATAATTCAAGAAAAATTAACAATACCAATATCGAAGCAATTCAGTTTCTGATATAATTTTATTTAAGTTTAGTTCATCTACAAATGGAAATAACGGAAATTCATGAAAAATCATTGAAAATTTTAGTAGGAACTGAAACAGTATAGTTTCATCGGTGTGGAGAATGAAGGCTTTCTCAATTGTCATTGTTCTCATGACTCTCTTCGCAGCATAAAAAAACCAAATCATCAGTGTCTTCTCAGAAAAGCTATCCATCCATCCATCCATCCATCCATAATATAGGGATATTATGCAGCACGAACAGATTCTGGAAAGATGTAAATAGATGTCAGCTGAAATCAATGTGGAAAGAACTATAATTCCTTCCCAATGTGCCAAAACTATTATTGTTATATTCATTATATGTACAGGGTATCTGGTCAACCATGCATAGATCATATACTCTAGCTGGTGATAGACAAGTTTCCTTCCTATCAGGAAACTACAACTCCGATTTTCAAAATATTTGGAACTTTTAGAATTCAAATTTTCATGTTCCAAGCATTGAAGAGCGTTTATGTTAATTCAATCTCCATGAATATCAATAGCAGATGGAAAATTTCCGATAGCAGTCATTCACGGTCTACAAAAAAAAAATCATTTGATACGAATCCTTCACGGTTTTATATTGACATTTTTTTAGACCATAAATCACTGTTATTAAAAAACTGCCTCCTGCGATATAGTTACAACTACTATTCAGTTCCCTTTATCAGGAATAAGAATCAATGTATGGAACTAAAAACTAGCTGCTCAAAACATGAAAAAATAAGAATTCAGTTTTTTTATAGAATTCCAATATTTCTAAAATCGTGAGATTTTCATTGAGCTCAAGTGGCGGTTTTCTGATAGATCATGAACTAATTAACTCATCACCAGATGACGGGTTCACCGAACACCCTGTAAACAAAAAACTGCACAAAAGGCGGCCAGTGAATCGTTCGAGTTCGGATTTTGATATTCGACGGAATTGCTCACGATTTTCAAATAGGACACCCTTTATACTTTTCGATGTTTGGATTCAGGAGATCGTTTTATACACTAGATATATTTCTTCTAAGCAAAATGTCAGAATATAAACGGTGCATGTTCTATTTTACAATAAAAAGTTGGGGTTGTTTCTAGTTGAACCGGAAGTAGTGATAGGTACTCATATTCATCAACAACAAGAGAATTATAAATATTGAATATAATCAATACCATCAGAAGCATGAAGGTGAAACATGAAAACGAGGGAGCATCATGAATATGCATGATGATTATGCTTTCACGATGATTAAGATAATAATATGATTCACTCACCGTCATTTTGGCTTAACGATGATCTTCTAGAAGAATTGAATTCCGAACATTCGATACTTTGAAGAGAAGGTAATTTGTTGAAGAAATGATCACATCGTGCACCAACTCATGATCTCACAAGCAGAGACAAAACAATAAGATGGCGGAGAGATGAAGAAAAAGAGGGAAGAGACGATTGCGCTTGCGCATGCATCGGATTCATATCACTTGATCCATATAGGGCATAATATTTCCAATGGAAACTTATGATGGATTTGTGAATTGTTACTTGTGGTGAATTGGGAATGATGATTTTACGATAAACGTTCACTAGTGAAATTACATAATGAGAGTTCAACACCAACTCTTATGTTGAGGTGGTGGTAAGTTCATTTTTTTCATGTTACAATGAGCTCATTTTTGAAAACTTTCAAGAAATGATCTCACAGGGAGTTTTCGAATGGAAGCTACAAATAATCAAATTCACAGTAAATTCCTATTTAACTCGCGAAGAATGACTTCAATTGTGAAAAACTTTCATACTTGCTGCAAATTGTTGTAAATTACAATGTTCAGTGGGCGCCATCTTGGATGGTCCGCCATATTGAATACAGAATAACGTCACACTATTTTTCGTATTACTCTCCACGAGCCCTTTCATTTGATACCCATATTGTAGAAGTAGATTGAAAATGACGTGACACACCTTATCGTGCATTGTCATCCAAACTGAACGTGTATACAAAATTTCAGCTCAATCGATTGAAGATTTCTACTTCAAAATTGTGTTCAAAGATTCCACCCGAACATACATTTATATCCATACAAACATACAATGCAAGTTAAATAAAAGCTAATAGCAAAAAGCACTTTTCAATTTTTTTATCGTAAACGTACGTATTCTGTTCGTATTCATGAAAAAAATAAAAATTTCGAACAATTTTTATGAAATATCTGTCAATCGTTTTGTTGTCGACTGATGCTTCGAAAACTTAAATTTGAATCTTCTCAAAACCATGAAGGTAATCAAATTTCATCAAGAGAAAATTCCTTGTTGGTAACAAGGTACAAAATTCAAATTTCATACCCAAACACTTTTTTTTTATTAGCGTAATACTTTCAGATAATGTTTCACAAAAAATATCGAGTTTCACGCCCATGCCTCTGGGTGTCTTTAATTTATGCCTCTGGGAAACAGGGCGACATCTCAGAGTAAGTAGCCTAAGCCCTGTGCAGGGGGCACCACAGGGCTGGACCAACCCTTTCTCCCGTCACTCGTAGGAGAAGGAAAACTTTTGGCCATCTTCGTAGACGAGAACAAGGATCGGAAGAGTCATCTTCAGAAACCTGAACGAAAAGGGTCTTTCATATTGGAGTGGCCCTTAACGAGCACCATGAGTCGTTTATGGTAAGATTGATAACGGCATGTAGGTAAAATAAAATGGGACACCAGGCCTAAGTGTCGTCGGAGACCTCGGTCAGACGAGCCTACAAATGGGGGATAGGACCCATATGGTGTCCATAAAGGATTTCAATCACCTCGATGCGAAAAATGACGCCCATGTAATGATAGTCATCATTAGAATAACATGGGTTTTATTGCCTAATGATGGCATGACAATGTACTAAACTCAAGTGAAATCTCCTCAGCCGTTTTGAAGTTGAGAAGCAAAATCCATTTGAGAATTGTAACTTCAGAGCCGTCTTGCGCCCAAATTTAGCAACATATTTGTGCTGAAGTGAGTTTTTGTGCATCGAATTGTTATTATTCATTACATTTTTTCTTTAAAAATCTCTAACAGTATTTTTCCAATCATTCCATTCCTTGGGGTTGAAAGAAATTTGGTCTTGAAATTGGATTGACTCTTTTGAATGATGGAGGAAAACAAGAGTTGTAATACTTCACCTCCATTACTAGTTTTCCTGACATTTTGTACATTTCCTTGAAGTACTTGAAGTAACATCTGCACCACCGCATATAAAACAAAATCTCTTATTGATATTGTCAGTAGCTCTACAGTTCCTAAAAGTATGGTTTGGTTGTAAACACCTTCAACATAACACCGATGAACTTGATGAGTTCGCATTCTAACTGGTAACATCAACTTGTTTATTTGTACTGACATTTTTATAAAATATCTCATTGTTGAAATTCCGCTTTCTCGGTTGAAAATTCCTCTGAAAATTCCTATTGTTAGTTGTAGAACTTAAAAGTGTATCTGGAAAGTATGTCAACTCAGGGTCAATCATACATCGAGAAGGTATTTGGTACTGTGACTGTGAATCAGATGCTAAGAATATCAGTTTCTTCAAGCTTTTCGCAAAGTGCACTCAAGGTGAAAACACTATCAATATCACTGAGTGCAAGTCTTTTTAGGTATTCACCCTGTAGTCCCATTTTGATATATTTGACTTTAGTGAGCTCTGCTGCTCTACAACTGAGTCTAGTGGATGAATTTTCCATACAGGCTATAAAAATTACTACAGGTTCATTTTTGCCTTGTTTCTGTGATTTTATTTGGTTCCATACTTCATCATCAAAGTCTGACATCAAAAAATCCTTTTCCAATTTCATGATCAGAGTTTCCCAAACTATTAACTTGTGTTCTGATTTGTCTGAACCAAAATGTATCCTTATCACTGAATAAGTCACTAGTAGATTCAGAAAGTTCAGCTCCACTATCATGCCTTGCCTGAGCTACTTCTTCTATGCGTTCGATGAATGAAAGGGGATTTTTTGGTTCACCATCGAATTGAATATTCAATTTATAAACAGAAACTGACCTATGAGAATTCACAATTGTATTACTGAAAGTGTTCGCAGTAGTTGAAGTACTGGCTCATAGTGTGAGAATAGTGACATTAACATTATCTTGAACATTTTCATTTAATTCAGCATCAGATTGCAGGGCTATAGCATAAGCTTCATTCTTTGAATTCGATACGTCCCTATAATTCAAGACTTTCCGCTTCAACACAATTCTGTTAATGCGAAAACGGACATAATTCTTTCTAGAGGTGCTCTTTTGTGAACAGAATCTGATGAAGGACTTCCAAAACCTTCGATAAGTGATTTTATAGAATCTGAAGTGGACTGAATTTCTACTCGCTCTGTATCAAAGTTATAAGCTTTATCATCTAAAGTCATCACATTTGTACCACTTTTCCAAACATAAGTCTTCAACGAATTTCACGTTTTTCATCTTGATTTTGTTCAGAAATTACACCTCGAATTCTCAACTCATAATTCAGTTCAGCCTGCAGCAAGTGATTAGCTTTAAAATATTGATCCATTTCGAATCAGTTCAAAATCAAATATCAAAACAGTTGTTCCAACTTCTAAGGAAATTATTCCAATGTGGCAACGCTGTACGTGGTATTGTCTGAAGCAGTCAAAGCTGATTTATCGAATCTCGAATCACAAAACTAGATTCTCAAATATTAAGAAACCTGATATGTATGTCACTGTAAATCAATTCATAAAAACCCATATATTTTTTACCTACCAAAAAAAATGTGGTAAAAACAACTCTCCTGGCTCTCCGTCAAGCTATCAGCTGTCTCCAAACCATGAACATTCAACATTTTATTCATTCATCAACACTCACAACTGTTGATTACTCACAACATAACTGAAAACT